ATTTTACTATTTGTTTTCTGTTTGACCCTCTGCTTTTTGTTTCTGTTTTTCTTTCTTGCATTCTTTTTGCTTTATTGAACATTCCTTCAGATTCTCCTTCAAGTTATTTAGTAGGTTCTTAACTATGTTCTCTTTGTATTTTGTCTGTATGTGTAGTTACTCTAGGGATTACACCATGTATTCTTAACTTTTTGCCGACTCTTATAGCTAATATTGGACCATTTTATTTTCATCATATAAATGTTGCAACTAAATTACCAAATCAGTCCATTTACTGCCCTGTTCATCCTTAATGTTATGATGTTGTATGTATTCATCTACATATTTTATAAACACTGTAAGACAGTGTTATAATTTTGGCATTAGATAGGCATGTCTATTTAAATTAAATTACTAGGAAAAAGTAATCTTTTATATTTACCCAGACATTTACTATTTCTGATGCTCTTTATTCCTTCCTCAAGAATTTACTTTTCAACTGCTATTTCCCTTCAGACTAAAAAATTTCTCTTGCACTTTCTGTATTGCAGGTTGACTGTTAACACATTCTTATAGCTTCAGTTATCTGAAATGCATTTTGCCTTCATTCTTAAATGGTACATTTTTGGATGTAGAATACTGGACTGACACCCATTTTCTTTCTGCATACTTAAGTCATTGTTTTTTTTGTGTTTAACATGTCATTTATTTCTCACTGCTTTCAAGATTTTTTCCTTTATGATTGTTTTCCCTCATATTTATTCCACTAGAAGTTCACTGAACTTCTTGAATGTTTTGAAACTTTTGTCTTGCACTAAATTTGGGAAATTTGTAGCCATTATTTATTCAAAGAGTTTTTGTTCCTAGTTTCTCTACTTGCCTTCTAATTACAATTATACATATATTAGCCCTTTTAATATTTAGCCCTCTGTCCCTGAGACTCAGGTTTATTATTTTTTCAATCCTTTTAGTCTCTGTTGTTCAGACGGACTCATTTTTATTGATCTGACATCATTTTCACTAACTCGTCTGTCACCTTGATTCTGCTTGTAAGCCTATCCAGGTTAATTTTTTTTTAAATCTTTAATTCTTTTTTTTTTTTTTTTTTTTGAGATGGAGTCTTGCTGTGTTGCCTAGGCTAAAGTGTAGTGGCATGATCTTGACTCACTGCAACCTCCACCTCCTGAGTTCAAGCAATTCTCCTGCCTCAGCCTCTTGAGTAGCTGGGATTACAGGTGCCCCCCACCATGCCTGGCTAATTTTTGTATTTTTAGTAGAGACGGGGTTTCACCACGTTGGTCAGGCTGGTCTCAAACTCCTGACCTTGTGATCCACCCGCCGCGGCCTCCTGAAGTGCTGGGATTACAGGCATGAACCACCGTGCCTGGCCCCAGTTAATTTTATAATTTCAAATAATGTATTTTTCAGTTCTAGAACTTCTTATTGGTTCTTTTTTTGATATTTTCTTTTATTTCTCTGATGAGATTTCCTGTCTTATTCATTTAAGTGTATTTCTATTTACATCTTTGAATACAATTTTAATTGCTCCTTTAAAGTTTTTGTCTGCTAATTCTAACATTTGAGTGACTTTGGGATTGGTCTCTATTGTCGTCTGAAAATGAGTCACATTTTTCTTTTTCCTTGTTTGTGAAGTAATTTTGTATGTATCCTAGTTATTGCTGTAATTACTACATTGTAGAGACTCTGGATTCTGTTTTATTCATCTGAAAAGCATTGATTTTTGTTTGTTTTAGCAGGCATTTAATGATTAGGTTCAAACTGCAAACTCTCGTGGGCTGCCCTCAAATCTTTACTTATTGTGCCCTTAGCTGGTATTTTTGGAGTTTTCCCTGCACATATGTGGTTCCACAAGTCAGCTGTAGACTTGAACTGAATGTATGCACAGAATTTAGGACTCTATCCTTTCCAGGGTTCCTCCCTCACTTTCTAGTTGTTTGGTTACCTGGCACCTCATCCTCTGGTTCTTCAGACAGACTGAGGAATTTTCATCAGAGCTTTAGTTGCTCTGCATGTTGTGGCTGGAGCCTGCCCACAGGCTGAAAGCTGCAACAAACACGTAACTAACTCACTTAGTGTCATCTCTTTTTCTGTGTTGATTCCCCTCTAGGATCAACCTGGTTTTGATAATATTCCAGTGCTTTCAGGTAGTTAATTTGTTGTACTTTTGTTTGTAGCTTGTAGTTGTTCCATGCAGGAGAATTCCTCTGATAAGAGGTTACTCAGCCATTATGGAAAGTAATGTGGCAAATGTGGTATGTTGAACTACAAACTTAATAGTTATCTTATTGTTTTAAAATATCCAGAAAAGGAAGAGAGTATGATATATATAATACACACACACACACACACACACACACACGGAAAGAACTGTTTTAACTCCATAGTTCACTTAATAAAACATTGGAGCAGAACACATTTCCGATGTAAGTGTAGATAGTTTATTATATGTCAAAAGAAAATTCTTAAATTTGTAAAAAACATATGTATATGGAAATAAACCTGGGATTTATTGTGACTATTTTCAGGGATGTTATACTAGCAGTAATTACATTTTAAAACCTAATCAGATGACTGAAATCTTGGACTGATTTACAAGTTCTGTTGTGTATTTTACAGGTAATTTTTTTTTTTTTTTTTTTTGCTTCTGATGTATGTTTTGATTTGATTCAGTTACCATAAGACAGAATAATTTCTGATTTTAAAAAAATTTGGGCTGGGCATGGTGGCTCACGCCTGTAATCCTAGTACTTTGGGAGGCCCAGGTGGTTGGATCACCTGAGGTCAGCTCGAGACCAGCCTGGCCAACATGGTGAAACCTCATCTCTACTAAAAATACAAAATTAGCCGGGTGTGGTGGCGCACACCTGTAGTCCCAGCTACTCGGGAGGCTGAAACAGGAGAATCGCTTGAATCCGGGAGGTGGAGACTGCAGTGAGCTGAGATCGCGTCACTGCACTTCAGTGTGGGTGAGACAGAGGGAGACTCTGTCTCAAAAAATAATAATAATAAAATAATTTGATGGATACTCCTACTAAGATTGTCGCTTTCTAGGAAATGTTCTTTTCATGATTCCTCTTGTACTGCATAGGTTCTTTGTGAAGCAGGAGGCAGAATCTGTGTTTTAATTTTACTTTCCCCTCTGTGCCAGTAGTTTTCCTCCCTGCTGTATCTCCTTTATATTTCTTTCTCTTAACCTTTTTTTATTGCCTCTAGTTTTTAATTTTTTATGTGTAGTAGGAAAGAAAGATTAGGAATATTGATTACATTATTTGATTTTTTTCTTTATTACTACACATTTTTTACTTCCCTAGCCCTTATCTTTTCTTTGCTGTTGTAGAATATTTTTAATATTTTACTCAATGAGTTGGGAATTTGAAGAAGTAAAAGCAAGGACTCCATGTACTCTCATTCTACTGTGGAGGTCCTGCTTGTTGAATTTTTAGGTATTTCAAGATGTTCCAGTCAACTGACAAGGGCTTCTCACAGTGTCAGAACTGTAATCATGATGAGACTAATGCAACTAACAATAGTTCTGGTATGTGAATAACCACTTTTGCATGTTAACTTCACCAGAAAATTCTCTGGAGTATAGCAGTATCCTGTATTCTTAGTTAGAAATTTGGCAAACCTCTTGGATGCTTTCAAAGGAGATTTTGAGTTAATCATGCTAATCAAAGAAGGAGAATATGTTTTAATCAGATGTGAAATTCTGTAAGATTAGTATATATCTTCATTTCTTAATTCTTCTAAAAAAGGAAAAGTAAAGCTTAAGTTTGCTTTCTCAGAACCTTCTAAATAATATGAAAGTTAATTAAACTTGAGGTTTCAGTGTATTTCTTACTGTAAAGCTATTGTGGAACTTGTAAAATACCAATCACTAATGTGGACCACATTTCCTTTTATGTAGGTTATCAGTGGAGATTTATTTGATTTTTACTTTTTTATACTAAATTCCTTAGTTCTTTTGTTGTCATAAAATATAAATAAATATTTTTGAAGATGTATATCTAGTTTGTAATGTGTTTGTTTGGATAATCTGGTTGTACTAAATCTTTAGAGTGATCCACTATATGGGTTCTTCTCTATATGATAACAATTAGTTCTGTCCAGTTGGTTGATCATAAAGAAGGTAGAATTTTCTACTCTTTTACCTTAGTTTACTCTTAAACAAATGGTGAGATGGTTATTGTTATGAGACTAGTTAGGCTGCTTCTTGTAATAACTGTTAATTTTTACATATAATGATGACACGTAAAGATACTCTCTGGCTTATACTTGGAAAAACTTTGTTACTTGTGATTCTGAATAACACCCTACTTTTAAAAGTTTTTTTAATGTATAGAATACCCTATTATCCAGTGTATAGGTTCCAAAGTTAAAATATTCAGTTATATTATATATTAGTAAATATATATTATATATTAATGTATAATACTATTAACATATTATAAAAGTTAAAATATTCAGTTATATCAACAGAGATTAAGGAACAGAATGCAATTCACTGAAGTCATTGTTTTCATTCATTGCTTTAAAAATATTTTCTTCATTTTAAAGATGTCTAGATCTATTTGAATATTCATGTTTTCCACTATCAATGATGCTTGTTTGTGTATTTCTTAAGTCATCTAGGGTTGCCATCTTAAAGAAGAGTAGCTTTATTTCCAAAGTGTTTTTCTAGTGTAATTAATGCAAACAGACTCATTACCTAGATGCAAGGAGTTTAAAGAAATCTGAAAAACAAAAACAATGAACTTACCCAGGGCTAGAGTCCATGTTAGGCTTGTAACTAAGCTCAGTTTCATTTGCTGGCCTTTTGATTTAATCCATACCGATTAATATTTTCTGTATGGACAAGTTTGGTCCATTAACCTAAAGATAATTTATGAATAAACTCTGATGTTCTCCCACATTGTAAATCTGGTATTTTCTTCATTGTAATAAAAAATATCATGCTGTAGTAACTAATTCTTGCCCCATACCCTTTTTCTCCCCTTTAGAAAAATTGGAAGCTCAACCACCCACCCCAGGACAGCTGAGATATGGTAATGGTTCTATAATTGTTAAATATATGTTCATCTGTCTTTTGGCCTTGAAATAACTGTATCATTCATTGATAGCACAGAAGAGTCAGTAAATTAAATCTTTCCAGATAGAGTGGATTATCCTGTTCATTATATGAAGCACAAAGTTTATAAACTTGGCTAAGGATGTAACACAGTATTGTAAAATATCTAATATTGTTAAAAATATCTAATATTATTAAAATATTGTTGCCATTTAGAAATAGAATTATTTTTATGATAAAAGTTTTCTTAATTTCCAGGAAAAATGATGTATTTACTTTAGTTTGAATTTAAGTTGGGTAAATGCAGAACTAGAATTTGTAGACCCAAGGCTAGATAGAACTGTTCTCTGGTGGAGAAAATGTTTCTGGCTGGCTGTTTGTAAGAATGAAAAAAGTAAAGTTTATTTAAAACTGCCTGAAGAAGGACCTTATTACAATGCTGCTAGTGTTCTTTCTTTTCTCTATTGTGATAGGAATAAATATTCAAGAATAAATAAATATTCAAGAATATACCAAAATAATGTAAAACAAGTTTGGATGTTATTATAAAGATGGAATAAGTGAATTATTTAACAGTATAGTGAATTAGAGTAGGTTGTAAATTAAAGCTAAATATGAAACGTGATTTGCTAACAGCTGCCAATTTATAGAATAGTGTTTCTGAGAGTAAATTTGAAGAAGCCACAAATTAGTAGGAGATCATTACGTACTAGAGAGCAAATTTATATAATTTTTTAAAAAGCCTAATGGCCAGTTCTTTTTTCTCTGACAGGTAGAATGTAATTTATATTAGAAATTAGTAACTTTCCTCAAATACCAAAACAATTTAAGAATTCTTTAAGACTTCTCTTCCTGGTTAATTTGTTATGGTTCTCCCATCTAAGATTCATACAATCTATAGTTTGTAATACTATATACTATTATCATTTTTTGTAGGTGATATTGAAATTTACTGTTTATATGGCTGTGTTATCATACCTAAACCCCTTTAGGGCTGGGAACCAAGTCTTATTTATCTTTGTATCTCAGGTGCCCAGTGGAGTGCCCTGTACATGTTTATTTAACTTTTTGAAAAACTTTATTTTTTCCTTTTAGTTAAAATAAAATTTAATTTTTAGGACATAGTTATATAGGTATAAACACTAAAAACATATATCTTATAGTTCAAAGTGATTATTATAACAGAGTGCCTTGGTTTTACTGACCAAGTAAAAATTGCTAAGATAGCAATTACTGTAATCTTAATTTAATGGCCTTATCACCTAATTTTAAGATATTTGTAACTGGCCAATTTTAGAGATGCTATTAAGTGAATCCCAAAATGCTAATTAATCCTAACCAGTTTCATCATTATTTTTCTGTACTTAAGTAGCTTTCTCTTCACTGTAAATGTTTTATTTAGTGAATTTTTAGAATTTCATTATACTCTTTTAACCTGTTAAATTTGTAATCTGTATTGGTTCTGGAAGCCGCTTTTCATAAAATTTTGAGTGTTCAGTAAATAACCAGATTTAGGCAATAAGTTAAAAAACTAAGGCTAGATTCTTTAATTGAAAAAAAAAAATCCCATTTTGTTAATGTTCCACTTGATTTTTACCACCTTTAGTAACTTAAGTAATATTCTTTGTAATTAAAAATGTCCTTGATCTTGGACATTCTTACTTAAAAACAAGAAGAAATTTTAAATGACCTATTTTATACCTATTATGTACTGGTTTATATAATATTGTATAGCTATAATAATATTGAATATAATAGTATTCTTATACTGTATATAGTATTGTCCCGTGGTCTTGGTCATTTATAGAGGTTGAGGGTACAAGTGCTTTTTTTTGAGTGCTTATTAGCCTTTCCTGCTAGGTGCAGAGCTCTATATAGTAATATCAAATTTTTATAACTTCTGGATTATATTTCAATTATACTTTCTGTGGCGATAACTGCATTAAAAGAAAAAAAGACTCTAAAAATTAGTAAACACATATAACCAGTTGGTTTAAGGGATTTTTTTTTTTGGATGTAGTATAAAACTCAGCATTTTAATGTTTGTTGAAAAAAGGCCTCAGTTGAATGGATATTCACTATACCTTGGCAATTTTATAGATTAATTAGAATAAAGTCTTTTACCTATTCCCAGCTTTTAATCTGTTTCACAGTCTGCCTTCAATTCTCTCAATCTGGAATTCTCTTCCTTTCCAGGTTAGTGGTCTTCACCTTAATGAAATAATATTTTTTTGAGCATCCACCATGCCCTCGATATTCTGCTGAAGATGTAAATATGAAAGAAATGAGAATAAATGTAAAAGAATATGTAGGTATTAGTTCTTCCTTTTTTTTTTTTTTTTAGATGGAGTCTTGCTCTGTCGCCAGGCTGGAGTGCAGTGGCACAATCTCGACTCACTGCGACCTCTGCTGCCTGGGTTCAGGTGATTCTCCTGCCTCAGCCTCCCAAGTAGCTGGGACTACAGGCATGCGCCACCACACTCAGCTAATTTTTGTATTTTTAGTAGTGATGGGGTTTCACCATGTTGGCCAGGATGGTCTTGATCTCTTGACCTCATGATCCGCCTGCCTCGGCCTCCCAAAATGCTGGGATTACTGGCGTGACCTAGTTACACTTCTAATATCTCAGATCATTGAATTTATATAACCAATAGATGAAGTAAGGTGTGTTTTTGGTAGCAAGAGGTGAAGTTACAGTTTGATTTAAATCAAATATTGATTGTTTATAATTTGCAATGGCATTTAGGAATATTGATGAATTTTGAGGGGAGAAAAAGACTGCACATAGATGAGGTAATAAAGATGAGATAATCACCTTTTTCTAACATTTCTTTAAAAAAATTAGTGAGTAAAAGCACCCAAATAGCTCTTCTGACATTTGATTTAGAACATTTTCATTATTTCTAATACAGAAATCAATTTTATAGTATCAGACTTTAGTCATAAGAGAAAAAGAGATTGATGTCAGTAGCAATCAGGTAAAACGTGGTACTCATATATGTTTACTAATTTGTTCTCTTAATTGTATGTATATATTTGTGTGTGTGTGTGTGTGTGTGTGTTACCAGCAAGAAAACACAAAAGCCTAACACAGTTGTTTTTACATGTTTTATATTTTTTCTGGTTTGTTTTGTTTTTTCCCAATATAATTTCTACTTGTAGCAGTAGCAGCATCTATTGGCTCTGGAAAATGAGAATCAAATTCTAGAGATTATCAAGTCTGTTTAGGATACTTTGATCATATCATCTGTTTTTGTTATTCTAAGTTAATAGAAATCTTAAAATATATTTTTCTGTTTTTGATGTTTTTCAGTATTCATCCACAATGCGATACCTTTCATAGGGTTTGGCTTTTTGGATAATGCAATTATGATTGTTGCTGTAAGTTCTTTCTCTCACTGCTTCTATTTTGAGTTCATAAATTAATGTGGTCTACATTTTCCTAATAATTTCTCTATTGTGGTTATAAAGTTTTAATATAATGAACAAGAATATTTTTACTATATCTCATATTAGACTATAGCTCAATTTTAAGGCATTATATTTATTAATCATTAAGACTTTAGGTAAAGCATTTAGACAAATAGACTTGGTAGAGCATTTAGACAGAATATTTAAGGCATATATTATCCTATTCTAATTTCAACATTCTTAATAAAGAAAAATAATATGTAAAATGTTCTGATGTCCTTTAGTGGTATTGGCAATTATCATCACATATATAGGTAACTATTTGATTTAGTTCCTTGTTCAATTTTCCAATGTGAAAATGTTTTAAAGCATGTTTTGATACATAGTCTAGCCTTCAGTCTAGCCATTGTTTAAAGTTTCAATTCAGTTAAGTGACTATATCTCCCTTTTGCCTTGTTCCATTGTAGTATTAAAAAAAAATTCCCCTTTGCTGTGGTATTTTAATGCAAGGGTGCTCCTTAAAAATGTTTAATCTCAGAGATGGCTGACTTACCTTCCTTACTACTATATAAGGCCTTTTGTTAATGGATATCAATATTGGGTTCATATTCTAAAGTCAGAAATAGATCCATGATTAAAATGCAAGTCTTCAGAAACTGCCCAGTGCTCTGTTTTCAAGAACATACCAAGTGTTAGCTACAGCTTATGAATTTGTCATAATGGGATTTTCATTACAATTAGATTTGATTTACATTAATTGTTTGAATAATCTGGCCAACTCAGATTTTAGTAGTTTCCAAGAAGGCAGTGTGGTTCTAAATAGTTGAATAAGTTTCTCACATTCACAGATATATAAATTGGCCAGTTTTATTCTTATATACGTATTATGAAAATGCCATAATCAGTCAAAAAACTATTCGTTTTCTTATTTTGTCCAAGTGAAATAGATTGATCACAGTCCAGTTAATATGTCAATTATCAACTTCTAATACATATTTTTAGAATACCTTATGTGAAATCATTCTTTTCAGATATTAGCATTAGATTGAAGGTAATAGATCTTCAATACATTTAGTGGGAGGAGAAAAAAATATCATGTACTTTGAATACCAGTTTATGAATTCCCAGTTGGGGTCTTTATTTAAACTCGTTTGAGAAAATCAAAGTGCCTCACAACTAGAAACTTTTCTCATTTAGGACTTAGAGAGTTTGTTGTCAGCTTCACTGACTCTAACTTTTAAAAACATTTTGTAAATGATAGCTAAAGTGTAGGAGACTACGAAAAAGTAGAATGACCTTAGGATTGTTGAATGTGAGGCAAATACATATGAGAGATGCAGGTTTTCTTTTTGGTGTTTTGGAGATCACGTGTACTACAAATGGACATAAATAGAAGATTTAGTTTCAAAGTAGGTATTTTAAAAGTAATTTATGTTGTATAGATTATAACATTTATGTAAACATGGTTTATTCAAGAATGGTTTTGTTTGCTATGTAATCTAGCCTTATGTCCAGATTGATGGGAATCAGCTACCAAACCAAACACCCACATTCTAGAGTCAAATTATTGTAGTAATTTGTAGTTCACTATTTGGTGTTCCCCAGGTGTGTGCCTCATTATTAGTATAACTAAGAGTACACTATTTTTCCAGGCCTGAGTTGGCTGACTCCAAATTAGTAATACTTGTTATTCTGTTTATATTGAAATCCAGTTTCAGGGGCTTATCAACCATTTTGTTTATTTTTTCTTAATTTTTTTCCCCCAGCACATCCAGAACACAGAAAATCAGTTTTTTATTTAAATAATACTGAAATAAATGTTTAAGCCACTGACTTCAGTACCTGGTTAAGAGTAGTAGGTATGGCAAAAATATTATCCTGTGATAGTTGCAAACTAATTCAGAGACAATAAAATTTTCCAGTGAGGCTTTGTAATATAGAATGCTGAGACTAAAACATATAAATAATGTAACTGTAGAATCTATGAAAGGTGAAATAAGTGATTATTATCTTAAGAATGTTTTTCATCTTTTAATTAAAAAATACTGATCAACCCCTCTCATTGTGGGATAGCTATAACTGTTTTAAAATAGTAAGTTGAGATAGTTGATTCTTCTTTTTTCTCACACCGTAGACGTTTGATGTTTTCCTCCTTCCTGTTAGGTGTACTGTCCCACCCTAGTTGTACTCGTAAAAACAAATTCCTCTGTAAACTCTTGTAATAGAGTTTATCTTGGTTGGTATTCATATTAAGCCTTTTGTTTCATAGTTTAAAAAATATTTTTATGTTATTGGATTGCTTTTTATAACATATTTTAGGGTTAGTTTTGGGTTACTTTACTAGCAGTTTAATTGGATAGAATTTATTAGAATTCTAGAGTAGATTCATTGTATTAAGGATAATGAACCAGGTATAACTTTAAGACAACTATTAGTATTCGGTTTATTTATAATTTCTACCTCACCTATTAACACAAAATTTGATGTTACTATGGGACACAGTAAAGAAGTGGATAGTCCATTGCCCCCAAAGCACCTTTGACTTCATATGGGGCTTTTCCTGCTGTTAGAAGGATCTTAGCTGTATTACATTCAACCAAATGATTAAGCACTTAACTATTTTTTAAATATATGTATTGCAAAGAGATTCTTCTTTGGCCACTGCCAGCGATTCATTGCTGTTAAAGATGCCATATTTATTTATTAGACTGTTGTTATCAGGTGCCTCTCTTCTATATTGGTGCTCCAGTTTTTTTGCATTCAGATATGATGATACACATCTTTATTCTTTTTCTCTGCCTATTTTTACCTTTTCTTTTCTTCCTCTTTATTTCTTCTTCGAAATCTGTTTCTTGGGGTATATTTACAACCTTGTAATTTGAACTTTGTGCATCAGGACAAAAGACTTTTGAACTTGAATGCATCATCAGGCTGTTGAGTCCATATTCAGCAAGAATTATATCTTAAAGTGATGCAACCAGAAGCTCTAGGGGAAAGAAACTTGAGGAAAACTCTTCAGTTTTGTAAATAATTGATGAGTAATGCATTATTTCTACATAAAATATAGGGCATTTTTTCCCTCCACAAATATCATTGAGATTTGAAACATTTTTTAGAAATGTTCATGCATCAGTGTTCAAGAGAACTCTTGCAAATTAAGTCTTCTAATGGCAGCATTTTCAGGGATTAGAATTGAATTAGCACAATAGATCCTAGGATTTCTTCCTTATTCTATTAGAATAGTTTAATCGTCTTCACTTCAGTTCCTCCTCTCTAAAATGAAAGTAAAATGTGAGCCCCTCTTTTCTTCAAAGGAATGATGATATACATATAGAAAGTCTTAAACTCTGTCATTAAATTCAGTGGCGATACGATGGGGCTTTGTTTTGAGTGTAGATCTATTGTACTAAATGCCGTTGCTGCTAATAAATGATTGTACAGTTTCACTATTTAATGATTAAAGAGCTAAGTGTTACAAGGATAATTTTATAAACCCCAATTTCCCTAGAAACTGGTTTAGTCTCTTTTTAATCTTTTGATAGAGTAAATAACAGTAGTATAGATGTATAGTTCAGAATTTAAAATTAATGTGAGTTGGTCTTGTTTTCAAAGAGCTTTAAAGCATTTTTCTCTGTGGTAGAAAAATAGAAATTCTAGATTTTTAATGATGAACTATATTTCTACATGTGTTGCTAATTTTATTTTTATAAACCTAATTTGAGTGAATGAAATGTTATGTTATTTCTGTATGAATGCATATATTTAATAATTTAATGAATTACTACATTATATGTGCATATATGATGTATGTAATTTTGCAGCACTAACATGTTGATTTAACTATTATATCTGTTTTTATTAATGCTTTGCTATTCTTTTATAGTCACTTCAGCTTTAATTTTTAAGATTAATTTTTTATCATATTTCAGGGAACCCATATTGAAATGTCAATTGGAATTATTTTGGGAATTTCAACTATGGCAGGTATTTAACAATAGTAAATGTTATTATTTCATTGTCTGTACATTTATAAAACATTTCAGTAGATTAAGTTTCGAAGAGGGTAATTTATTTGAATGAGTTTACTCATTGAGATATCTGTTTTCTTCATCGTATTCTTCTGATTCTTAGTTTTGTATATGTAGTACTTTTTCTGAAAATTTTAGGTACTTTATATTATTAGTTATTGGATAAAAATACTCTGCTATATTGATTTCATTAAGACAAGATTTTCTGGCAATTCAGTGTTACCCCTAAACATTTCTACCCTTATTTATTTATTTACAGAGTCTCACTCTGTCACCAGGCTGGAGTGCAGTGGTGCGATCTCAGCTCACTGCAACCTCCACCTCCCAGGTTCAAGTGATTCTCCTGCATCAGCCTCATGAGTAGCTGGGACTGCAGGCGCCCACCATCATGCCTGGCTAATTTTTGTATTTTTAGTAGAGACGGGGTTTCACCATGTTGGCCAGGATGGTCTCGAATGCCTGACCTTGTGATCCGCCCACGTCAGCCTCCCAAAGTGCTGGGATTACAGGTGTGAGCCACCGTGCCCAGCCTATTATTTATTTATTATTTATTTATTTTTGAGTTGAGTAGATTTTTTTTTTTTTCTTGAGTTGGGTAGAAAAAATCAAAGAAGGAAATATAGGATTAAACATCTGTCTTCTCTGTCCCATTTACCACTCTGTTTTTCATGGAGGTAAAATTTGGGAAGAGTTCTATGTTGTATTTATTGTAGAAAGCATTAGGTAAATGAGTTAATGAAAGAAATATTTTTTTTCTCCTTGACTTTCTTGAATTTCATAGCTGTACATGCAGCTTTACCAATTCCTTTAAATATTATATGAAAGATACTACAAAATATTGTACAATTAATATTGAAACCAAATGGAAATTGGCTGCCATAACAGAAAAAAACCTACTGCTTAATGGAGGTAGAATATTATAATTTCAAAATTGTGTTCTATTCAAAACCTTGAGAGTAAGAGCTGTCCAATGAGTTACTTTGAATATAGTTGCTTTAGTTTGAGAAATGTGAGAACTCTTCCAAGATCAGTGCTTTGTTGATTACAGAGTGACATAATTATTCTTCTTTTATGTAACAGTTCATTTGTTTATTTTTCAAATTTTTAGCTGCTGCTTTGGGAAATCTTGTGTCAGATCTAGCTGGACTTGGGTAGGTTCATTCACTTATTCATTTGTATATTCTGTACTTGCTGTCTTTCTGTTCCCCACTCTTCTTTAATTGAGAAGCATAACAAAGGGATATTTAATTTTTCTTTGTTTTCTAGAATTAAAATTTTGAATTTACTTCTTCTAAACTAATAGTACTAAATCTTTGGTATCCATCAAATGTAGATGCCTGGGTGATATCCCAGTTATACATTCTTAGTATCTCTGGAGAGGGAACCCTGGCATTTGTGTTTAGTAATTTTCATGAGTGGTTCTGATGCATGCAAAAGTTTATTCTAAATCTACCATAATGTAAGCAAAATGGAATTTGTGTTTACTGAAGTATTTATATGTATTTTATAGACATCTGTAAGGGTAAGGCATGATTAAAAGCAAGAACCTCTCTCATTATTCCACCTCACCCTACTCCCACAAAACCCAAAGAGAAAGGATATGGCTCAAATTTAAGGATACTGATGACTATACATGGTTTCTAGAGGGGGGAGCTTTCAAAGGAAATAATGGCCAAAGCATATATGGGTTTGGCTATTTTTTGCTTTCTTTACTTTATGTGGCAGGAATAATGAAACAAACTAAGGACATCTATTTAGAAAAGGCCAACTTTCTCTCTCTCTTCACATTCTTGTTCCCAGTGGCAGATGGCCTGAGCTGCTTCCTGAGCTTGGGGAAGGCTGGGGTAGTATAAATTAGACTAAGTGGACATTATTATGATAAATATGTTCTCTCTTGCTGTGTCTTTGACCTTGTCTCTTCTTTCCTTGGCTCATTTGAGTGTTACAGTTTCAGATTTGAATTTTTTCTTAGAAGTTTACATAGCCCTGTAATCTAGGCAAAGCAGCTTTATAAGTGATCTAACCTTAACTTTCTATATTAGACTTCTGCACCGGAGTCTGGGGCCAAAGCCACAGTTTAAAAAAAAAAAGTTTCTTTGCTTTAGGGCCATGGCAAGAATTTTATATTCTTGGAATCCTGGCATAAATGCATCATGATATCATCTCTTAAACATTCTATTCCCAGTTTCTAACATTAAAGTAAATAATGAGAATATTACAGTCATTGTATAGCTTTTGGATATATTTAATAGAACCAAATGATCTAAGAGATTTTAAAGCCATCTAGCTATATATTGTATCATAAAACAATTATTTTTGTTTAGAGATGAAGATTTTTCTTGAAGTCTTTTTGTTTAAAAACTATTTCTCTTCTCTCTTTTTTTGGGGGCATATCATTAAACAACAAATACCACATTTTATGCATTCTCAGATGCATTTTAACATATCTGATATCAGGATCCATCTTATTGTTGGTAGTATACACAGTTTAATTAGCAATGTTTTTCTTACAGTTCATAAAGTAAGAGTATATCCAATAAATGATGGCAACTTAGAATTGATAAAATACTTGAGATTGGCCTGAAAGTTCTAGGGTGTTTTTGTTAGTTTACCAGTCTGAGGAATTGTATTTGTTAGTTTACCAATCTTTGGAAACTTTTGCTGTCTGATAAGCTACTAATTTGTATCATATGTTAAAGTGCTTTGCTTTGAGCTTGGAATAATTGCAGAAATTCTAATTTTCTGTACAAATTGTTATATACCTTGAATTGTTTTTAAAAATAATAATAGAGAATAATTGCTCTAAGTCAATTAATTTTCCTTAGTGTTAAATATGTTAATAAGAAAATATTTTTAAACAATATATTTATATACAATAAAAATTAAAAGTTGTAAAGAATGTTTATGCCATTTCTAGAGTACCAAGTGCAAATGTAAAATTATCTTGCTTCTCCTTGTAGTAATTAGTTTACTATATGAGGACATTTGCATGTCTTTTTAAAAACCTACATTTTGTCTTCATTGTCGTTTTGTTTTGTTTGCTTTTGTAAAGGCTTTATTGAAACATAACTTATATATCATATTGTCTTGTTTCTTCAAAGACTTGCAGGCTATGTTGAAGCATTGGCTTCCAGGTTAGGTCTGTCAATTCCTGATCTCACACCAAAGCAAGTTGACATGTGGCAAACACGTCTTAGTACACATTTGGTAAGTAATTTACATGGTTTATGACAATGAATTGGGTAGCCAGAACAAGATACTGTATAGTTCAGGATCTTGAGAAATTTGAGACTAAAATGGGTTTGAATGGAGTTTTTAACAAAAATTGTCCAGATCTTGGCAGTTTTCAGAAGAACAGTAATTTGTGTTATTAACTCCTTATTTTTTGTAAGTATACTGAATTTTTAAAAAATATTTCTGCAATTCACTTAGAATTAGGGAGTATCTCTTATAGATTGGGGTCCAAAGAACATAAATGAATAATAAACTGTGGTTATCCTTGAGGAACTTGTTTAGGTGAAAAACCAAACATGTAAACAAATTATAATTTAATGTGACATATGCAATAATGAATTATGTACAAGATATAACAATGATACAGGTAAGGGAATTAACACTGTGGGCAATAACTTCTTTTGGTGAGGAGATTTCTTGGTGATTTTTAGATCTAAGCTGATTTTTGAATTATTGATGAGACATTTACTAGATGAATAAGAGGAATTCCAAGCATACTGGCCAGCAATTAGAAGAGGATGATAAAAAAGGGTATATTTAGGTAAATACATGAACCTATTTTAGGAATATAATATGTAGTAGCTATAGGTACAAGCAGCAGCAGAAGACAACATTGGAGAAGTCAGCGTGGATCAGACAGGAAAGGTATTGTATGTGAATGCTAAGGAGCTTCAGCCTCTTACCTAAGTGTTGGAGAGCCAGGGGAGTTTTAAATAAGAAGGAAACTGGATGGATCATGATGCCATCAATAAAATCAAGAAAAAAAGGAGGAGGAATAAGCTTGTAAGGGAAGATAATGAGTTCTATTTTGGACACATTGAATTTGAGATACTAGTAGGACATTCAAGTGGTGACACCTAGTAGGCATTTGGGTTAAAGTCAAGAGTTAGATAGGTCCGAGTTAGTGATAATGGGTATTGTCACTCATTCATTCAACAAATACTTATTGTTTACATATTATATGCCAAGTAGATATACAGGAGTTTTGAATACATTGGTTAACAAAATAAGATCTTATTTCTGATAGATCTTGCATTCAAGCAGTGGGGAGACAGACAATAAACAATCTGATAAATAAAAATATTTAGCATATTAGAAGTTTATATGTGTTACGAGAATAAGGGAAAACAGAGCGAAGTAGAAGAGGCTGGGAGCGCTAGCATAGAAGCAGACTGCAGTATTCAATAGGAGAGTCACTGTAGGCCTCACTGAAAAGGTAGGTGATTGTTAAAACCATGGGAGAAGATGAACTTTCATAGGAGAGTGGTTCTCAAAATGTGGTGCCAGCATCAGCAGGATCAACATTACCTGGTAACTTCTTAGAAATGCAAACACACAGTCTTCATCGTAGACCTATCTATTATTGTGTAAAAAATTATTGCAGCTGGACGGGGTTGCTCATGCCTGTAATCCCTGCACTTTGGAAGGCTGAGGCAGGTGGATCACCTGAGGTCAGGAGTTCGAGACCAGTCTGACCAAGGTAGTGAAACCCTGTCTCTACTGAAAATACAAAAATTAGCTGGGCGTGGTGGCCAGGCGCCTGTAATCCCAGCTTACTCGGGAGGCTGAAGCAGGAGAATTGCTTGAATTTGGGAGGCGGAGGTTGCAGTGAGCTGAGATCAAGCCATTGCACTCCAGCCTGGGCGACAGAGTGAGACTCCATCTCACCAAAAAAACAAAACAAAACAAAACAAAACAAAACAAAAAACATACAAATTCAGCAGCTTAAAACAACATATATTTATTATCTCTCATTTTCTGTGGGTCAGATCAGGAGTAGCTTAAATGGGTCCTCTGGAAGACTGCAATCGTGTCCAGCTAGGACTTGGTTCCTGTCTAGAAGCTCAACTGGTGATGAATCCACTTCCAGGCTCACCCAGGTCTTTGGCAAAATTAATTTTTTTGTGACTGTGAGGGACCCAACCTCTGGCTTGCTGTTGCACTCTCATGTCCTAGAGGCCTAGAGGCCTCCCTCCATCTAGAGCAAGCTTGTGCAGCCTGCTTTTGGTAATCCAAAAGTTTACCACAAATTGGTAAACTTTCTTAAAACATAATGAGATTTTTTTCTGTGATTTTTTTTTTTTAAGCTATCATTAGTGTTAGTGTATTTTATGTGTGGCCCAAGAAAATTCTTCTTCCAATGTGGCCCAGGGAAGCCAAAAAATTGGACACCCCGATCTACGGGTCACCTGCAGTTCCTTGCCATGGGGCCCTCTCAGTAGACCCTCTCACAACATGGCAGCCTGCATCTTCAGAGCCAGCAAGGGAGAAAGAAAATGAGTCTGCTGGCAGGATGGCAAGATGGAGCCTTATGTAATGTAATGTAATTGCAGGAGTAACATCCCATCACCTTTCCTATTATTCAAAGCAAGTTAGAGCATCCTGCCCATGCTCAAGGGGAGGAGACTATGCAAAGACTTAAATATCAGAAGGAAGATATCATGAAGGCCACCTTAAAATCTGCCTGCTACAGATTCACAAAATGAAAAATTCTGGAGACAGAACTCAGCAATTTGTGTTTTAATTCTGCTGTACATTAAAATTTGAGAACTGTTGTTCCAGAGAAAATGTGCAAAATTAAAGAACCCTAGAAAATACCTAAGAGCTCATGGTCTTATGGGAGCGTTCAAGGAAGAAGTTTTAAGAAGCAGTGAATGATAATTAATTCAATTAATTCCTCTTGATATAAAGAAATCAAGTAAAATTTCTGAAAATTTTTTTTTGTTTTTTGTTTTTGGATTTGGTATGTAGTTGCTCATTGATAATCATTTCTGAGCAATTTCTATGGACTAATGGAAGAAGAAAAATCAAATGACAATGGATTGAAACACTAATGGGAGCTGAAGAAGAGTAAAATACAAAATTAATGTTAAATTAGATGGAATTTATTTTAATGAAGATATTAAATGTTTTGGAAGTAAACAGAATTTTTACCTGCAAAATATTCATACAGAGTATAAAAACATACACATAGGTAAAAATTAAATTCATCACTAATCACTTCAAATCACTTTAAATCTGCAATGATTACTACCCTTTAAAATATGAGTAGTAGAAGGATCACAAGTATAGCAGGGAAGTGTTTGGTTTTCAATCAAAATGTAGGAAGAGTGTGGAGAAACAAAATGAGGACCTATTTGCTTGTTGTAATTTTTACTTTATAAAGGTTGAAAAGTCTTTTAAGAAAGTGGAATGTTAATTTTGGGCTTTTCCTTTTAGTTTACATATGTCCATATCTTACAATTTGTAAGTAAAGTGAGACTAGCCCCTGATACCAGCTGGAGTTTTGAGGAAATAAGGATTTTCTAACATTCTAGCAATTTGTCTTAAAAATTTTAGCATTAAAGTTGGGATCAGAAGTTTATTTTTCTGGGGCATAATAATTGTTTTCTTTCTATATTAAAAGTAGGTTCATTTTCTCTTCTCTATGACAAAAACATCTAAATTACTAAACTAGTGTTAATATATTGAGTGTGTGTGTGTCTGTGTGTGTATTGCGATAAAACCCCTCACTGGTTTATGGCAACAGTGATTCTGTTCCTTAGTTGTTGACTCTGCTTGTTTTATGTTAGAATCGAATCTTCTACTCTGTAACATAACATTTTGATTCTATACAGCCTGAAGTATTTGAAGTTAGTGATCAGCCTTCTACTCATGACAAAAGCTAACTCTGAAATTTACCCATGATAGAATAAATACAAATACACCTGCAGGTTCCAGTTGACATAGGTGTATTTTAAAACATCACTTGTAATTTGGTTGTTTGAAATTCAAAAAATATTTTCTTTTTTTTTTTTTTTTTTTTTTTGAGGCAGAGTCTCGCTCTGTCGCCCAGGCTGGAGTGCAGTGGCGCGATCTCGGCTCACTGCAAGCTCCGCCTCCCGGGTTCCCGCCATTCTCCTGCCTCAGCCTCCCAAGTAGCTGGGACTACAGGCGCCGCCACCACGCCCGGCTAATTTTTTTGTATTTTTAGTAGAGACGGGGTTTCACCGTGTTAGCCAGGATGGTCTCGATCTCCTGACCTCGTGATCCGCCCGTCTCGGCCTCCCAAAGTGCTGGGATTACAGGCTTGAGCCACCGCGCCCGGCCAAAAAATATTTTCTTATAAAACAGTATTACAGATGGGACTCAAGTTCTACGATTAGCCCCAATGTGGTTAACTGTGGGGCCTAGAGTATTGTAAGACATAATAATAATGTGTAAATAAATGTTTTCACAATGAAAAAATTTGCTTCAGGTCCTGCATCAGGGAGTAAGAAAAGTGTATCACTTTTTTCTTCCTCACCGCCCTATTGACGTTATATCTCTTGAGATAATTGGGTCAGAAATCACTGACTGGTATTCCTAAACTGAAGGGTGAGGAAAGCCTTGGTTGCAACGGGAATTCTAACAGAATGGGTGGGAAGTGAAAGTGGGGCCAAATTACAAGTGAGGTTTTAAAATACACCTGTGTCAACTGGAACCTGCATGTGTATTTGTATTTATTCTATCACGGGTAAATTTCAGAGTTAGCTTTTGTCATGTTATCTTCTGTATATGGGAAAGTCAGGAGTCTGAAATAGGATATAATGATTTCTCTGTGCATATATTCAAATGAGTAAATATGTTAAAGTGAAAAAACAAGAAGCTAAGGATTGAATTTATCAGCATGTGGAATGAAGAAAGTTTCTGCTTGTTAAAACTCCGCATGAGTGATACCTTTTAAAGTTTTGGCATAATGAAAATAACAGTTTTGACTATTAATATCAAGTATTGGTCATACTACTAATACCACTACCACCACCAAAACCCTCAAAATAACAAAGTTGAAAATTTTTACGCAAGCTATTGTCAAAATATTAATGTCTACTATTAAATTTGGTAGAAAAACTGTAGGATGTGGGCCTGGCGCAGTGGCTCACGCCTGTAATCCAAGCACTTTGGGAGGCCGAGAAGGGGGCGGATCACAAGGTCAGGAGATCGAGAGCATCCTGGCTAACACGGTGAAACCCTGTCTCTATAGACTAAAAATACAAAAAATTAGCCGGGCGTGGTGGCGGGCACCTGTGGTCCCAGCTACTCGGGAGGCTGAGGCAGGAGGATGACATAAACCTGGGAGGCAGAGCTTGCAGTGAGCCAAGATAGCGCCCCTGCACTCCAGCCTGGGTGACAGAGCCAGACTCGTCTCAAAAACAAAAACAAAAACAAAACCCGAAAAACTGTGGGATGTGATAGCTAAACAGACAATGTATAAGAGAAAACATTTCATTCAAGAGCAAAGATTACGTAGCTATCATAGTATCTATAATGTTTGATAGAACTTACTTTGTCTTTCCCTGTGTACCTAACTAGAAGTTCCTGGAGGAGAGAGACAGACGACGTAAGATTAGTCCGTCTCCATGGTACACTCAAGTAGAGAGTTTGACACATAGTAGCTTCTCAATAAATATTTGTATGAGGAAATGAAACTTAATTGAAAAGTATATAAACTTGATAGTCATCATAGGAATGCAAATTTTGAAAACCATTTACAAAAATAAAAATTTTAAATTTTTATAATGATCTGGGTGTGGTGGCTCCCAGAGCCTGTAATCCCATTTGGGAAGCAAAGGTGGGAGGATCTCTTGAAGCCAGGAGTTCAAGATCAGCCTGAGCAACATAGGGAGACCCTAGCTCTACAAAATAATAATAATAAGAAGAAGAAGAATAATAAAAGTAACAAAATTATCTAGGCATAGTGCTATGTGTCTGTAGTTCTAGTTACTGGGGAGACTGAGTCAGGAGGCTCGCTTGAGCCAAAGAGTTCAGGAAGAGATCAAGAAGATGGCTCGGGCCAAGACTGCAGTGGGCTATGATCATGCCACTGCACTCCATCCTAGGTGACAGAGGGAGACCCTGTCTCTAAAATAAATAAATTAATTAAAATGAAATAAAATTTTTATAATGTAGGTGAGGTTGCAGGAAAATTGGTATGTATGTCTACATTTGTGTATACTGAAATTGGTATGTAAGTATATGCAGCTTTGTCAAGGATGGACAGCATGACAATCCTTCATGAAGATGCACAAATACTAATACTGTTTGATTTTTAAATAAATCATTGGCGAAGAACTATACACGGAAATGCTCGTTGTTATTTCACTTATAATGTTGGAGAAGGAGCAGTGGCTGTTGTGTAGATTTAAGTAGATTTAAGTAGAGATTTAAGTAGAATATGGACCCGTCAATTCAGTTGAACTTTAAGTTTAGCAGTTTGGAAAAGAGTTTGTAAGAAAATGTGTGGCTATGCAGGGGTATGGATTGAGGAAGAAAACAAAGCTATGTTTACATAATGATTATATCTACATATAAGGTATACACAGGGATAAATATTGAAGAGGAATATATGTGAAGGGTAGCAAATCCAAATATATTGAGAAGAGCTGGTGAGATTTTTTTCCTGCCTTCTTGTTATCAGAGATAAAGTAACTTTTTAAAAATGTTCTCTTTTGTTTCCTTAGGGCAAAGCTGTTGGGGTGACTATTGGCTGCATTCTGGGAATGTTTCCTTTAATTTTCTTTGGAGGAGGTGAAGAAGATGAAAAACTGGAAACGAAAAGTTAATCCTCTTAGAATACCTATAAAAAGATGTAAACTAATGTACCTCAGTAATTAAATATGCTGTCACAACATTTAGGAATTAAGACAGTAACAGTATAGATATGGGATCAAATAATTTAGCATGTATTATGGAAAACACTAACTTATTGTGGCTTGATCTTCTTAGGACATCTTTTTTAAAAAGCTGTTTAGTATCATTTTGTGTAAATTGTTGAAATGCTCTTTCATCAGTAGCAGTCAACATTTTATCTTTTCTTTCTTTTATATTCATAATGTTATTTAAGTGTCATTGATGTACTGTATTGACTTGGGGTTTGCTTATTTGTTACTTAACATGTGTACATGCATGAAAGCATTTTTCGTTGTTCCCTGATAGTTACATTTCAACCTGGGGATTTTTCCAAATTACTGAAGATGTTTAATATCAGTTAAAGATTTTTTTACCCTCTTTTTGGGAATATCAATTTTGTACTGTTACACAGTAAACATTTATAATCATATAATTTCAGTCATTTTCTTAACTCGCACATCTATTGAAAATGGATATAGATACAGATTTTAAGTATTGTAAGTATATATTACTTATTTTAATTTTCTGACTTTACTGTTTTAAGGGCCAGAGGTTAATCAGAAAGAGCAATTATGTGGTCTCCCTGCTACGTGAAACCATATATACTAACAAGCATACTATTTTTAGTTGATTTTTTTTTAACCTTTAGTTTCCCAGTTTTGAATAATTACATGGTGGATTCCAACTTTTGAGGGGAAGAAGATGAGTATTTTAAAGTCTTTGAAATGGGGATTGTGGAATTAGATTGAACTAAGGGATTTAATATGCTGCTTGGAAATTAAGAGGCTAAAGCTTTTTTTGAAAAAAGGTAGAAAATAGGAACTGTCAAGAAGGTTTATGGTATAAATGGTGAAGTTGAAGTGATGTTTGAAAGGTTAATGAGATACAAATCGTATTATTTGGTGAGGTTTTTTTTTTTGTTTCCTCCAAAGATGTCATCTTCTCATCTGAATGGAATAAGTCTGAATACTCCGTACTCATACTCCTAATCTCATTATATCTTATTTAGTGAATTTTATTTATGAATAATTTCTTTTGAAGTGAAAACTAGATATTTAATGTTTTGCTTTTTTGCTACATAGTCCACTCAAAAATTACATGAGGAGAAATCCTTTTTCCCTTTGTTTTTCTTTTTTCTTCTTTTGTGGTATTTAAAGAGTATTTTAGGTTGAAGTTACTTATTTCTAGTCTTGTATATCTGACTTAAGTATAACCATGTAAGAATTATAAATTTTAGTTTTCTGAACCCTTAAACTTTTTTAGCATGTGGTCTGTTACACATACTAAAAAATTACTCTTACTTGTAACAGCGTAATTAAATACATCATGGAGGAGAGAAACTTAAATTAAAATTAAAATAATATTTTGGCTATTGAAGTTATTTGTGTTGCTAAATAGATGCAGAGGATTTACAGCAATTTTATTTTAAGGTTTTATTTATACATAATTACTTTGAACTCTTCAGAGGAGATACTGTTTCGCAAGGCAATTTGTCATAAATTCTCTCATGCACTTCAGAATGAATAAGTGCCATCCTTTAATCATAGACTTTGAGGGGAGAAAGCATAAAAATGTAGCGTATAATCTAAAACTAAATATATAACATGCACAAATAATATGACATTCTTACTGAATCAAATCATGATTCTAGAACTTGAGATCTTAAATCGAATTTCGGTTTGTATCTTCCATATAATATCCACACACAGATAACCACACAAAAAATCCTTTGTAAAATTTCAGATTGATAGGATTAGAGTGCTTAAATTTTTTGGGGGGAAAGGGTGGGAGGTAAAGTGTAAGTGCTTTCTTTTGTCCCTAACTTGTGTATTGATGGCAGTCCATTCTGTTTTCTAAAAATGTATTTTATTGTGGTGCTTAACTTCTTATTAATTAAATCCCAAATCAGAAACCTTGCCTGTGAGTTTAGAAAGGGCTTTTGATTATTGTTTTTTCTTTTTGCTCTTGAAAGGAATCCAGTCCCAGGGAATTATTGGTTTAACTGAACATCTCCAGAATTATTTACGGTGTCAAATATATATAACCTTTACATTGAAAGATAATTTTAATTTATGGGCATAATAAAAATTTGAATCATTCAGGTAATTAATTTTCAAAAAATGGAGACCATTTGTCTTTAACTGAAGGTATATGTTTTTTAAGATCATAGTCTACACTAGTATGGTGCTTTGCACAAAGTGATTTCTGAAGAATGGTTCTTTTTAAGATAATGACTTCATGTGATCATTGTTTCATGTTACTTGCCACAAAGAACTTTAATTCAGGTTGAAACTGGAACTGTTTGTTTCTCATATTAGCTACTTCTCTGTTAGGAGCACAAGAACCATAGTTAAATGCAACATGAGCTACTTTAGTACTGTTTGTTTGAAATTTGTGTTGTCCATGTATTATGATTTATTAACTTGTTGATGCATGTAAATTGGGTGCATTTTGTTGCCATGTATGTTAAATGGTGACCAATGTTTTTACAAAGGAATTGAACGAAAAAAAGTATCTTTTAAGAAATTTGGAATGTGGTTTTGATTTTGAAATTTGATTTCTTACTAGAGGACCTTGGTATATTCTATTACTAAAACAAACAGGATTAATGAATACGGATTTGTTATAAGGTGGCAGCAATGTCACTAAGACAGTGAATGGAACAATTTACCACCTCCCTGGAATCTGCACCTGAGATACAGCATTACAGAGTGTGAGTGAAGAGTGAGCCCGTAGAAAAGCTTTAGATAGACTCACGTAAGTCACACTGATGGGTATTTACAGCAGGGATATCTAAGCTGTTTATGTAATAATGTCTCATTTATGCTTTTTCTCTAGAACATAAATTTTGAAGGTAATGGAAGTTTATCTTTTATACCAAAAGTTTGTATGAGCCATTTTGAAGTAATCTTTCTAATTTTAGAATTATATTTTCTCGCCATCTTAAGACAGTATATTAAATATAATATATAAGCATTATCTTTACGTACATTATTATTGTGTGGTAATGCAGTACCTTGAGAATCTAGTTTTTATAGTTTTCATTTTTCTCCTGATCTTGCTTCTGGCAACTTTCATCTCTCTAATCTGCTTTTTTTTCTCAGTTGTCTGGACTTAGAAACTAGTTAGCCTATCTTACCATAAATTATTTGTGAAATACTAAAAAATTGGCTTTGGATCCTGACTGAGATGATGATGATGATAGTAGTAGTAATAAGAATAATAGTTCCCTTTTATTAAATGCTTATTCCTTTATGCACTAGTAATTTACACACATGATTGCATTTAATCACCTTAATGACAACATGAAGTTGGGGCTATTATCATTATCATCTCTATTTTCTCGTAGCTAAATTGAGGCATGAAGAGAGTTTGCCACTACGAATAAGTGGACTGGAATCCTATTTTGTCCAAGTATGAAGCCTGTCTTCTTAACTGCTGGGTCGTAGGGACATCAGTTGCATGGGCTTTGTAATGTCTGCTCTCTGCCTAGGTTCCTTTTTACCTCCAGGTTCATGGAGTCATTTTCTTATCTATAATTTAAGAGTATTGTGCTTACAATCTCAAGATTCATTTAAGAAATCTTGTGTTCTTTATTGCATACTATGTGCTAGGAACTGTTCAAGGCACTGAGTGAACAACCAGAACATCTGTACCGAAGCTTATTCTTTTGGGGTGCGAGGGAGGGTAGTAATAGGGGAAGAGAACCCAGAAAAGCAAATACACTTTTTTTTTTTTTTTGAGATGGAGTCTTGCTGTCACCCAGGCTGGAGTACAGTGTTATGATCTTGGTTCACTGCAACCTCTGCTTCCTGTGTTCAAGTGATTCTCCTGCCTCAGCCTCCTGAGTAGCTGGGATTTCAGGCACATGCCACTGAGCCTAATTTGTTTGTATTTTTAATAGAGATGGGGTTTCACCATGTTGACCAAGCTGGCCTCAGACTCCTGACCTCAGGTGATCCACCCGTCTCGGCCTCCCAAAGTGCTGGGATTACGGGCATGAGCCCCTGCGCCCAGCCTGCAGATATACACTTAAATATTGTTTATGTCAGATGGTGGTAAGTTCTATAGAGATAAATGAAACAAGATAAAGAGGATAGAAAGTACCAGTGGTCACAAGTGAAGATGGTCAGTGAAGACCTGAAAGAAGCGAAGGCACAAACAGTGCAGATAGTCTGTGAAGAGAAAGTATCATGCTAGGTACTAGAAAGTTGGTGTTAAGAAAATCTCAGATACATTAAATATGTTCCACTTTGGAATGCATTGTAAAATGTTTTCTTTTTGTTTCATATGACTAATGTCTGGATTAAGCCTAAAGAATAACAGTTAAATATTAAGATTAATACTCCTTGCATGTTTACTGACAGCAGTAGGTGGAAATGGCACAGAAGCATGGGGAAGCAACCCTAGAATTCACAAAAGTCTGTGGATACTCCCATCAGCAAAACATTTACAGTTGACCCTTGAACAATGCAGGAATTAGGGACACCAACCCCTGTGCAGTTGAATATCTGAATACAACTTTTGACTCTTTCCAAATTTTACTTGTAGCCTACTATTGGCTGGAAGCCTTTCTGATAACATAAACAGTAGATTAACACATAGTTCTCCGTTCTGATTACAAGACATACTCCATACACATATCTGAATGGTAGCGAAGAGAAGAAATGCCCTATTAAAACAATCAGGGAGAAAGTAGAAAATACATTTACTCTTCTTTAAAAGCTGGAAGTGGATCTCGACAAAAGTCTTCATCTCACTTGTATTCATGTTGGTAGCGCTACGGGACGAGAAAAGAAAGTTTGTCTTGCTCTTAGCGGTACAGAGGTGGAAGGGAAGACCACGGAAAGGCAGGCCACACTAGTTGTAAAAGTTTTATGAAAATGCAGTTGTAATTCTGTCTGATGTCTTTGCTGTTTTTCATTATCTCTAAAATATGTTTCTAAATGTACTAATCTTCTTCCACAATTGCTGTAGTTTTAGGCTTGTGGCTAAAGTCATGGTACAATCACTCTTCTGGAATACAACACAGATTGCTCCTTAATGTTGATTTGTTTACTGGCCGCCAGCTTCTAAATGTCTTTCCTCACTCACTGTCTGGCACTGAATTGCAGAGGGGCACGTCATCTCCAAAAGCTAAGGCTTTTTGAATTGCTTAGCTCTTTTGACGCACTCCAGGATATCCGGGATCTGAAACGTTTTACCCTCCATACATTCTTATTTATTTATTTATTGTTATTTATTTATTTATATTTAACATATCCCTTTACAACGCTCTTCACGATTTTCCTTCGACTTGGCCTCTGTTTAATTCCTGTGAAGGTCACCACACAACAGCTCTGTGCTTTGTTTTCCTCAGGGCAGTAACGTATTATTTTGGGCTTGATGGTCTTTCATGGCCTTTCTCCCAGCAACAATGGCTCAATCACCTCGCCTCGGAATCCTTCAGACCTTTGATATGCTCGTCTTGTTAGAGTTCTTGGATCGCACTGATGTCTATGCAAAGAGTAACTGTGGCGTAATGAGCCATGAAGGTCCTTATGACCCCCTTCTTAGAAACTAAATAGAGACATTATGCTGGCGCAAAGTAGGATCACTCTCGATGCCCTTTAGTCGTCAGTGAACTTCATCGCAAGTTACAGGGCTGGGTGGCCCGGGCATTGTCCAGTATCAAAAGAACTTCTAAA